GGGTCCGGGCTGGGGATTCGAACCCGCCACCTTAGGTGTACGTGGCTAGCGCCTTAGCCGGTTGAGCTATAGGCGCCGAGCCGAGCCTGGAGATTCTTAATGTGCTTTTTCCCATTTAAGGCCCTGAAAAATCCTGCAATATAAGAACCTAAGGGAGTGCGGGGCAGGGCCTCACCTAGGTAGGGGCGCATTAAGTGGTAGTAGTCACCCGAGGTCCTGGTGTTGCTGAAGGCCTCCCGGGCCTTGGCATAAAGCACATCCTTCCGGGTCTGTGGGCAGGAGGAGATGTCCAGGGCCCCGGCCAGCCTGGGGGGTACAGCTGATGAGCAGGCTGGAAACCCCCGCCCTTCAATGGCTAGGCATGGGCCCCTCTGCAAACCACAGCTTCCCTTTTGCTCTGTGCACTGGGCCAAACAGTTTTCCCTCCAAATTCATATCTACACGGAACCTCAGAATGGGACCTTATTTGGACATGGGGTTTCTGCAGATGTCATCAAATTAAAAGATGAGGTTAGATGGAATTAGGTGGGCCCTAAATCCCATGACAATGTCATTAACACAATATGGAAATTTGGACACAGACACAGAGGGGAAGAGGACTGTGTGAAGGTGGAGGCAAACTGGACGTGTCCACAGGCCAAAAGACCCTGGAAGCTGGATGAGGCAGGAAGGGTCCTCCCTGCAGGAGTCACCATGATCTTGGACTTCCAGCCTCTACAAGTATGAGAGAATAAACATCTCTTGTTTTAAATCACCTAGTTTGTGCTGAAGTAGCCCCAGAATCCTAACACATCTCCAACTGGACTGCCCTCCTGAGCCTCAGTTTCTCCTATGACTCATTTTGGCAGAGCAGTGAGCTGCCTCTGAGGCTGTCGAGTGGGTGGGTGGGTGCTGAGTGGTCTCACCGGAACTCCAAAGGCTTGATTGTCTGGATCTGCTGGGGACTCATCCAGCAGAGGCGGTAGCCCCCAATGGCCACCAGCAGAGCACTGGTGACCGTACCGTTGTGGTCCAGGAACTTCTGCAGGACAGCCTGGGGGGGAAGATCAGGTGTCAGTGGGACTGGAGCATGGGGCCAGGGCTTGGGGCCACCTGCCCACCCTGCTGCCCTCACCTCTGTCTGGTTCTCTAGGGCCACACCCGAGGCCAGCAGGGCCACGACAGTGTCCCCGGATGTGATGTTCCACTGGCCAATCTCAGTGAGGGAGTAGAGGTAGATGAGTGAGGTGATGAGCCTCAGCTGGTCCTCAGGGATGCCTCGTGGGTAGATCTGGCAGGTGGGGCGGAGTCAGTGCTTGACTCCGGGCGGAGGCCTGTGCCCTGCCAACCTCCTCCCCACTACTGGTCCACACACCTGGGCAAGCTTGGCCTTGACGACACGCTGGCACTCAGCGGGCAGTGGGTGCTGCAGCAGGGGGTCTAGGTTGGTCCTGACCATGCGGCTGCTCAGGCAGGACTCGAGTTGGGCGCAGTCATAGTGCACCAGAAAGAGGTTGTCCTGTAGTGTGGCTGCCGTGATGTTGCCACGGACACAGGACCTCCTTGTGGGTGCTAGGGCAACACAGATGGTCAGGCATAGCTCAAGCTGATGCCTGCTGAGGTCATGAGACCCCATCTTTGACCCACTTCCTCCACTTCTGTCCCTGCTCTTGTCTCTCCCCGAGCCTGACCTCTAACCAAGAGCTTGGCTTAAACCACTACTCTTGTGCCAAGCCAGCCCTGGGAAAGCGCAGCACCCCCAAGGCCACAGTGGCCACACTGACCTGAGCCCCGCTTGGGCCTTGAGGACACAGAGTTAGCCTTGGATTCCAGAAAACTGGTGACAAAGCGCCTGGCATCTCTCTGGCTGAGTCGCCCTGCCCGGCATGCAGCCACTATGCTACGGAAGAAATCCAGGCCCACGGCCTGGCAGGGCAAGGCAGGCAGGGCCACTGCATATTACAGGGGGCCTGCCTGGTCCCTCCTTCCAACCCACAGACAGAAACTCTTTGAAGGGAACCATCTGAGGACCTCTGAGGCATCAGAGTAGCTATGTGGCAGACCCTGGTTTCGGACAGCTGGTCCCCATCCTACCTGCTGCACCTGCATCCACAGGTGGGAGCTGATGTAGGTCGCCAGGGGCCCCAGGACCTGCAGTCCCTCCAGAGTCCAGGAGCCAGGGAGCCTAGTGCATAGGAAGGGGCACTGTGTGGGGGCTCCTGGGAGCCACCTGCCTCTCCCCAAGCACCCAGCTCAGATAAACCCAATCCCTCGGCTAGCACCTAGCTATAGTCATTTGACCAGGCCCTGCCAGGGATACTTAACCCTCGAGGAGCAGGGAAACTCCCAATTGGTAGGGCAGCACCTTCTGGCCCTGTGTCCCATAGGCTGTGGGATCAGAATGAGGCCAAGGGCTGAGGTCAAAGGTCAGTCTTGCCTCAAGGAAAGGAGGCCTCCAAGCCTGCCTACCCCTACTCACCCCCGGGCTCCTGGGCTCCTTAGCCCCCACCCACCCCACCCACCCAAGCTGGGTCCTTCCACTGGCCAGCAGCATGTTGAGGGCAGCCCTCTGGGCAGCTGTCAGCTGTGGGCAGCGCTGCAGGTTCTGTAGCACATGAGGGTCTGCAGTCACGATGATGGCTGGGTCCATGTCGCACACTAGCACTCCAAGGAGCAGCAGGTCGGAGGCTCTGAGCCGCAGGGGTAGCCCCCCCTGCAGGGACGTCAGGTCAATGCACAGCAGAAGGCCAACTCTGCTGCCCACTGCCTCCCACTCTGCCTGAGGTGCCCACCAGGCAGGCCCAGGCTGCGCGGTGCAGGGCGGCTCTCTGGTCAGGCAGGTTGGCCAGCAGCTCCAGGTGGCCCTGGGCAGCGTGGTAGGTGAAGGCACGGCAGTCAGCTTCCTTTACCTGGGGCAGGCTGCAGGCAGGTAGGAGAGCTGTGGGGTGGGGCTGGGGCTGGGCACTGCCCCCTCATCCCCATGCTACAGGCTTGCTCTGCAGTGGGGTGGGGACAGGAGCACTCACTTGTAGAAGAGGAGCAGGTCCGGCGGGTGGAGCATGAAGTCCCCCAGGAGGCTATGTTGCGCTGCCAAGTTGGCCAAGCAGCTGAGCTGGGCAGGAGGGCAGCAGGTCACTCTCTAGTCTACTCTGAACTTGCCTTTCCTCTCTGCCGGGTCACCCTCCCCTCAGCATGGACCCTGTCCCCAGCTCTCAGGCTGGCCCCTCCCTCCTAGACTGGACTTTTCTCCTTTTTGTTCCACAACCTCCATCTCAGAACAGGCCTCAAAATAGCCAACCCAGGCTTGGTGCCTGTAGCTCAATGGCTAGGGTGCCAACCACATACACAGGAGCTGGCGGGTTTGAACCTGGCCCCGGCCTGGCAAACAACAATGACAACAACAACAACAAAAATAGCCAGGCATTGTGGTGGGTGCCTGTAGTCCCAGCTTCTTGGGAGGCTGAGGCAAGAGAATCGCTTAAGCCCAAGAGTTTGAGGTTGCTGTGAGTTGTGGCACCACGGCACTTTACCAAAGGTGACATAGTGAGACTGTCAAAAAAAAAAAAAATTAGCCAACCCAGTCTGAATAGGCCTTGCCTGTCCCCAGCCACAGCCCCCATCTGGCCGGGACACCTGCAGCAGCCTCCTCACTTACAAAGGTTTAGGGTTAGGTAGGGTGGTTCTGGATGCTGGGGAGGTGGAGGAAATTTCCTGTCCTCCTTACAGAGACTCAGTGAGGCCCAGGGTGGGCTGGGGCTGCCCCTGGGGAGCTTCCCAAGTTAGACCCATGGGTGGTGCCCCTGGCCCTACCCCACCCGCCTTGTCCGCTGCCTGGGGTACTTGCTGAGGTTCTGCTCAGCCCTCTACAGCCTCCTCGTTTTACACCCCCCGCCTGGACTTGTCCAGGGAGCCTTTGGGGTCATTTCAAGAATTTTTAGCCAGTTCCTTGGCGGCCCTTTGCCTAACTTTACATCCATCAAGCGCCTGTGAAGGAAGCCTCATGGGAGGGGCCTTGAGGCAGATGAGGCCTGTCCTCTGGTTTCTGTCCAGCTCTGCCACAGCTTATCTTTGAGGAGAGGCCCACCCAGGGTGGGAGACTCTGACCCTCCCCCAGTCTGCCTCTCAAGGAGCCCCCAGAGAATGTAGAGTGGGCTCATCCCACTGGAGGACAAGGGACTCCCTCATGCTAGGTGGAGGGGGAGGAAAAACCCTGATGTATAAACATGTGAATGTCAGTAAGTTTGAATAGAATGTTAAACACACTTGATTATTGATAAAAAGGTAAAAAACGAGGCTTGAGGCCAGGAGTTTGAGACCAGCCTTGAAATATAGTGAGACTCTTATCTCTTAACAAAAAAAAGAAAACATTTGAAGCAAATATACAAAGTATTAACACTACATTATTAGCAGTTCCTCACACAGATGAGGAACACAGAAGGTGGATTTTAACAAATAACTGAATGTGTGTGTGCAAGTGGAGACAGACAACTGCCACATAGACATGTCCAGGATAGGGATGAAAACACTGAAGGGCAAGGAGAGGCAGAATTCCAATAAAGGCATTGGGCCAGAGAAGCAATATCCTAATAGATGTAAGTGGACTAACTTTGCAATAAAACAATGAAGATTTTCAGATTAGATTTAAAATATTTCAGTTCTATGCTGTTTACATGAGACACCTAAAACATAAAGTTACCCAAAGGTTGATGGTGAAAGAATGAAAAAAGATAATCCTGGAAAATATGAAAACTAAGTCAGCTTTGGCAGGTCAATCTTTGCTTTCATCTCTAATATGTAGAGGTCTGTCAAGATGACCTATTCTCCTGTGTGGGTTTGGTAGATTTTGACCTTCAGAGAACCTGGGTCACTTCATCCAGCACCAGCCAGGTTCCAGGCTGTCTTGTTTGTATGCATAGATGTTTCCTTATTATCTTTTATTGTCTGTGGGATTGGTAGTGATGGTCCCTCTTTCATTTCTGATATTAGTATTTCATGTTTTCTCTTTTTCCCCCTGGTTAGCCTGGCTAGGAATTTGATTTTTCTTTTTTTTTGCAGTTTTTTTGCCGGGGCTGGGTTTGAACCTGCCACCTCCGGCATATGGGGCTGGTGCCCTACTCCTTTGAGCCACAGGTGCCGCCCTTATTGATCATTTTTAAAAAGAAGCTTTTGGTTTTGTTGATTATCTCTCTTGATTTCTTTTTTTTTTTTTTTTTGAGACACAGTCTCACTATGGCACCCTTGGTAGAGTGCCGTGGCATTAAAGCTCACAGCAACCTCAGACTCTTGGGCTTAAGTGATTCTCTTGCCTCAGCCTCTCAAGTAACTGGGACTATAAGCGCCTGCCACAACCTCCAGCTATTTTTTTGTTGTTGTTTAGCTGGCCCAGGTTGGATTCAAATCTGCCAGCCTCGGTGTATGTAGCTGGCGCTGTAACCACTGTACTCTAGGCACTGAGCCTCTTGATTTCTTATTTTCAGAGTCCTTGATTTCTGCCCTAGTTTCCACTATTTCTTTTCCTCTGCATTGCTCATCTCCCTCTACTTTCCTGCCATGGAGCTTATATGATTGATTTTTTATCTTTCCTCTTTTCTGGTATGTGTATTCAGTGCTATAGGTTTCCTTTGGGCTGGGTTCAGTGGCTCACACCTGTAATCCCAGCATTTTTGGAGAGGCCGAGGCAGGAGAATCACTTGAGGTCAGGAGTTTGAGACCAACCTGGGCAATAGTGACACTCTGTCTCTAGGTTGAGGCAGAAGGATTGCTTGAGCCCAGAGTTCAAGGTTATAGTGAGCTGTGATGAGACTACTGCACTCCAGCCTGGGTGACAAAGTAAGACCATCTAAAAATAAAAAATAATAAAAAAAAGTTTACTCTGCTTTCACCATATTCCATAGATCTTGCTAAACTATTTTCATTTTCATTTAGTTCAAAATATGTGATACTGTCCTGAAACTTCTTCTTTGACTCCTGTTATTTAAAATTGTGTTGTTTGATCTCCTAGTACTTTGGAACTTTCCAGCTATCTTTTTTTTTTTTTTTTTTTAAGACAGAGTCTCACTACATTGCCCTCAGTAGAGTGCTGTGGTGTCACAGTTCACAGTGACTTCAAACCCTTGGGCTTAAGCAATTCTCTTACCTCAGCCTCCCAAGTAGCTGGGACAATAGACACCTGCCACAATGCCCGGCTATTTTTTTGTTGCAGTTGTCATTGTTGGTTAGCTGCCCCGGTTGGGTTTGAACCTGTCAGCCTCGGTGCATGTGGTTGGCACTGTAACCACTGTGCTACAGGCACCAAGCCCCAGCTATCTTTTTCTTATTAACTTATAGTTTGATTCCAATATGATTTATCTTTTTTAAATCTGTTGATGTGTTTTATGGCCCAGAATGTGGTCTAGCTTGGTGAATGCTCCTTTTGAGCTGGAGAAGGGTGAGTATTCTGCTGGCACAGGATGAAGTTGTCTGCAGACACCCATTACAGGCTGATGGAGCTGTTTAGTTCACTTCTGTCCTTACTGATTTTTTGCCTGCTGGATCTGTCCATTTCTGACAGAGGGTATTGAAGTCTCCAACTCTGATAGTGG